GGAGGAGGAGGAGGGAGGAAGGAGAGAAAGAGAAAGACAGAGACAGAGATACACACAGAGAGACATGGTGTACATTTGTTGCATGAGAACATGCCTTAGTCAGAGGACCACCACCTCAGGTGTTTTGAATTTTACAGTTTTGTTTTAGACTGTCTCTCATTATTTGCTGCTGCACAGGCCAGTTTAGTCACGTTCCAGGGATCCTCCTCTCTCTACTACCCATCTTGCCTCTGGAGCATTGTGATTATAGACATGTACGGCAATGCCCAGCTTTGCGTGGGCTCTGGAGCTTTGAGGGCTTCTTGTGTATCCGCTGAGCATTTTCAACCAATAAGCCATCTTCCTAGGCTGGAAACAGTTTTTTGATAGGACTGGCCCTGTAAGAACAATTTTAAGTTTCTTAGCTTTAATTACTTTGCTAAAGGGAATTTATTTCATTTTGACATTGAGTTCAGTGATGTCAACTGTTTATCATTTGTGTCAGTTCCTTAATTCTGATGTGACAAAGACCCTGGAGCTATCTGAGTTTCCTCTTGTCCAAAGGCTGACTAAAGGGTTTTATTCAAGTCTTTAAACAGAAGCCGGCTATCAAACTGAAGATATAACAAAGGACATTCCCCCTCCACCCCCTCCAGTGACTGGGGACTTGGACTCTCATCTTTTTAGTCTTTAGCTTTTTACAGCATAACTTTTTATTGTTATTCTAGTTTGCTGCTGACATTTTTTGAAGATTGAGCTGGCTGCTGCATTTGACATTCATTAATCAAAGTTAACCCCGACCCCACCTCTCCCTCCCCATGTCTGGCACAGAGCTATGCTTGTGCTCAGCACCCGGTTTATTGTTTGTTTGTTTGTTTATTTTGGTTTTTCGAGACAGGGTTTCTCTGTATATCCCTGGCTTTCCTGGAACTCACTCTGTAGACCAGGCTGGCCTCGAACTCAGAAATCCGCCTGCCTCTGCCTCCCAAGTGCTGGGATTAAAGGCGTGCGCCACCACCGCCTGGCTGTTTATTTATTTTTTAAAATTATATTCAATATGAAACTGTTAGAAGGGCATCCATGTCTTCACTCTTGGCAATGGAAGAATTCCCCATGCTAACACATCCCAGTCTTGGAAGAAGCATTTAGCTGTGAGGAAAGAAAAAACAAAACAAAATGAAGAAAGAAAGAAAGATAAGGAAAAAGAAAGAAAGAAAGAAAGAAAGAAGAAAGGAAGAAAGAAAGAAAGAAAGAAGGAAGGAAGAAAAAAACCAAACTAAATGCAACTTTACAGAAAGGAAATTTGTAGACCTAGCATAAACCCAGAGAGACTTTTGTAGTTTCTGGCACTAAAGATAAGAATACCTTTGTTATTCTAAATTCAGGTGTGATTAACAGAAAGAACAGTCACATTCCTTTTCTGTTTTAGCAAGTGTGTAAGTGGGGCTTGACAGGAAGAGGCAAATCTGGTTGTAAGACCAGAACAAAGGGATAATATTCAGTTTGGAATATCATAGTTTACTGTCTTTAATGAATATAGAAAGATCTTTGATTCCATTTATAAAAAGTGAAGTAGGGGCACTGTATGAATTTATTCATGTTTAAAATGCACCTACCCACCCACCCACCCACCCACCCACCCACTACCACACACTTAAGGTTGAGTGTGCTGGAGTGGGCCAGGTCTGTAAGCAGTAAGAATGATCTGTGATGTGGTTTGGGAGCAGAGTATGGGGCTGGCTTTTGGAGGGCAGCTCTCTGAGTTATCTGTGAGTGGGGAGTTGGGCGGGGGGCTGTGAGGAAGCAGTTGAGGTGCTGATGTGTGGGTATAAGCTCCTTGGGTTAAGTCATCTGCAGTCCTTGTCATGGCTCAACCAGAATTTGGGGCCAAATGGGCTAGGGAAGTCCCTGGGTAGAACCAAAAGCAATTCATCAGCCACTTGTAAGCTGACCCAAGGGGAAGATGCAGTGTCACTGGGATACTGTTACCGGTGATGCCGATGACAATCCTGACGATTAAACAAGTAACCAATTGTTTTCCTTTCTTTAGTCACATAGAAAAAATCACCACATGGCAAGACCCTCGGAAGGTGATGAATCAGCCTCTGAATCATGTGAACCTCCACCCCTCCATCACTTCCACATCGGTGCCACAAAGGTCCATGGCAGTGTCCCAGCCAAATCTCGGTAAGCCCCAACCTCTGACTCCTGACAGAAGAAGGAACCTGATGAAATTAAGGATATGACCGATCCCAGTTATGATTGAGAAGAGTTTGATTGTAGATATGAGGGGGAGGGTTCAGCCAGAGGCGTCTGGAAGCATCTAGACTGAGCCTGACCATGAGAGGAGGGAGAGGCACTTAGGACTAAGAGGAAAAGAGAGGAGCCAAGGACCAAAAGTTCAAGAGCTAGCCAGCCAAGAGCAAAGAGCTAGCGAGCACACGGCCCAAATGGCTGAGGTTATATAGGAAAGAGAAGCTGAGGGAAGGGAAGGGAAGGAAGCCCAGGCCCTGAGCTGGAGAGGTTTGGGGGTGAGATAAGGAGCCACAGGTACTCAGCAAGACTTGTCCTGGGTTTCTTTGGGACCTGACAGAGTCTATCCAGTGGATCTGGGGGTTCAGAAACAGCTCTGCTTGCCTTCATGTATTGGAGTGTTTTCTCCTTTCAGTTATATCTTAATGTTTTTGCCACACAATTCTTGACATTGGTACTGGCTTCTAGTATACTGCTGATATTCTCTTTATTTCCTTGGTCTTGTGTCTTCATTCTGACCAAGCAAGGCAAGGAGGGCATATGCTGTCTTCCTGTAATTTGGTTCCTGCAGAGTACTCATGTGAGCCTGCCAGAAGGCAAGGTGCTTGGATCCCTTTTCTCATAAATCGCAACACCATGCTGTAGCAGTATTTTGCATTAGACAGATGAAGAAACTTTCTGAGTCACGGCTTGTAGACCACAGAGCCAGACTTTGAACCTCGATTGTTCTGGCTTTAGTATCAGGTACTCACTATATAATATGTAGGTGGCTTCTTCCCATTCAGTCTACATTCACAATATTTCAGTCTGGTTTTTAGAATTGGGAGTATTTTCTGCTCCTTGATTTCACTTTAAAAACATTAAGGTAATGTCCACTGTAGATGAGCAGAACTGAATAAACATTCTGCAGGGACAGAAGAGGTCAGCCGTTTTTGGTGTTACTCCTCTCCATCCCCTTGGGGGGGGGGGCAAAACTATGAGATCCGGTTAAAGGTTTTTATAAAAGATGCTGCTGTTTTCTGATGATGTTTTCAACTTCTGATTAGTTATCCAGATGATGCTTCATCCACCAGTTAGTTTTAGGGAGTAAAAGGAATCTCTTCCTGGATCTTCAGGAATAAACTGGATAGAAATGGAAGCATTGTTCCTGGGCTCTTTTCTTAACCCTATGTTTTGCCAAAGCAAGTTCATCCTTAAGTAGACTTGAGTCTTCTAGGAACTCTGTACCTATTGGTCTAAAGCTTGCACACATGCATATGTCCTCAAGCAGCTGACCGAGACGGCAAATAAAGGAAGATTGTCCTCGTCCTGCAACAAAGCTTTCCACAAGTTTCAAATCGATGAAGTGTATGAGAAACAAGTGTTGGGATAATAAAGAAATGCCAAATTAGATGACAGCAGACTAGTTCTATCATTCACCTTTCATTTGTGTGTGTGTATGTGTGTGTGTGTATGTGTGTGTGTGTGTGTGTGTGTGTGTGTGCACGCGCGTGCCCATGCATGGTGGTTCTGGGTATCAAACTCAGGGCATTATGCGTGCTAAACACTTGCTCTGCTACTGTAGGTATCTCCTCAGTTCTTGACCTGAAACTTTAAAATCAGTTATATTTGGAAAATGTCTTTCATGAGCATAGTATTTTAAATTCTAACACTTGGAGCTTTGGATATTTCTCAGGAGAAGCTGAGAAGCATCCCTACAACCCATGTGAGAAAGCTGGCTCCTTGCAACCTCAGTGCTAGGCACCGGAAGTCAGGCAGATGCTGGTGTTGATTGGCAAACAAGCCCAGCCTATTTGGCTAGTCCTAGAATAAATAGCAAGAGACTCTTTTTCAAATGAAACGTTGACATTGTCTGAATAACAGCACCCCGCTGGCCTCAGATCTGCTTCTACCCTTGGGATACCAGGGAACCATTATGCATCTGGCTGGACTCAAGGGAATGAAGTGTAGCTGGGTGGGTGGATTCTGCCAGACCTTGGTCAGTGGCAAAATAGCCTTCTCCAAGATGGTTTTCAGTGAAACAGTTCTTTTTTTTAAATTAGGGGTAACAAGGCTGTGTAAACCTTGGGGGAGTGCTTAGGGTTTTTTGGGGTGAGTGTACACTATTGGCTGGTGCTGAAATGCTGGTAATGCATGAAGAGGAATTCCAGATGCTTGCTGGATGTGTCTTTATACCTGTAATTTGGCCAACAGGCTAAGTGACTACCTCAAGGGTGGGAGAGGTGGGTTGCACAGACTATGTGCTCAGGTCGCCAAGCTTGGGAGCAAGTACCTTTATATGCTCTGGGACATGCTGGCCCAGCTCAAAGAGAGAACGGTTCTACTCCTGTTGGTCTCAGGACAAGATTTTCTGAGATTGGACACATCTCGATCTCCGGACTGCTCTAGACTGGCTTTTACAATAGCATAACTTTCAGGTGGAGGGTCAGGGGATGGGGCATAGCACCCATGATTGTGCTCTGTCTTCCCTCTATACATACACATAGATACACACATGCACAGACATGCATATACATAGAAACACATACATGGCCAAGCTACAGACCTACACATGCACAGATACACACACACACACACACACATACACACACACACACACACACACCCCAGAGAAGTGTTTAGAAACTCCTCCAGTTGGTATTTTCTGAGACCTTCAGTGTTCTTCCTAGAGCCATAAGAGTGTTTCTAGTCATATGTGTATGGATATATGTGTGTCTGCATGTATATACAAACACTTGCATATTATACCCACTGTTTTGTATCTTTAAAGAAAACTTGTAGCTGGGCGGTGGTGGCGCACACCTTTAATCCCAGCACTTGGGAGGCAGAGGCAGGCGGATTTCTGAGTTCAAGAGTTCGAGGCTAGCCTGGTCTACAGAGTGAGTTCCAGGACAGCCAGGGCTACACAGAGAAACCCTGTCTCGAAAAA